CTGTGCTCGAGTTCTGAACCTTTCTTTCACTTTCTTCCACATTCCTTCTGATTTCGATCCCCAATTTCTTTTTATATTACTTATGGTTAGTAGCTGATTGTTGCTTGCTTATGTGTCAGCAGTTTGTCTCCTACTGGTGTGTTGTTGTATATCGGCTGTTCAATGGTGACTGTTTCCCTTTGTCCAAGCATTGAACCACTCCTTTTCCCCCTTACCCCTACACACGCACCACGTTCGGCACGATACTAAGTGGACCTTGGTGGAGTTGACGGACCTACTAAGATGGTATCCGGAGCCGCTCTGCTCTTCTCGCGACTTGCAGTGTTGGTGGGCCACTGCTCTGCACCACCAAGTGTTCCACCGCCTCCTCGTTGCCGTTCCTCCCCCACTCCTCCCTCTTACTTCCTTGTTCTACAACTTAATTTCATGTGCCGCTTATGAGGTTTCATGCTGTTGCTTATTAACTTCATGCTGCCGCTTATCGGTCAATGTGTTCCATAACTACGTTGTGTTCTGTTCTGCTTTACTAACCGATAATAAATCATAATCATGCTCAAAAGCCACGCCTACTCCGTCTCAGGGATAAGGAATGCAGGTTTTGTCGATCCGCCAGCCTGTTTTCCATCGATCGTTGCGCCTTTGTTCGTTGAATAGGTGGTGCGGTAGGGCTCTGACGCTGCTGGCGCTGCTCTAAAACCATCGCGCGGCTGGCACGCCCCGACTGACTTGTGTGGCAATAAATGTAAAGGTTGCAAATAAACAGTTAAGCTCCCGAAATCCTATTGCGCAAGATCTAGTTTGCGATTTGGGTTTTATTATTTGACACATATTACTATTTCGCAGACTTTACTGAGTGCCTTGTTTCAGGTACGTTCTTTTGATGTCCTGCTGTCTGCTTGGGTGTTCCTATCGTCACGCCAAACAGCGCTATGTGCGTGTTTATCGCATTCCTTGTGTTCGAAGTAAGTTTTTCTGAATTAGCTGATTATCACTGAAAGTTTGTGGTGTGGAAAAGATTTGGCCAACTCAGAAGCACTTTGCGCGATCACCTGATAGACAAATAGCTTTTGTGCATTGACCTTGTCACCATGCCATTCGAAAGGGCGTGCGAAGCAGGGCTATCCTGGCGAGTTGGGGGGGGGGGGGATCACCTATCAGGAACCGTAGCTTTGCCCAGGTTAGTGGGCAACTAGTTGATAGTGCGCGTAAAACGGAAAAACCAACAACCAAAAAAAGCCCAGGTCGAACAAGACTACCTCCTCTCCAGAAACCAAATATCCGTTGGAGACCCGCAAGCGTACAACGTTCCCATGTGGTAGACACGCCAGGGCTTTGTGACCGGGCTATATCATCGGAACCGGTGAAGTGGCGGTGTCATAGCAACTTCTTTCCTAATGGGAGAGTCGTATGACCTATATCTCCCAACCTACCACCATCTCACCTAATTTTCTGAAGATTTTAGCATCGATCGCGGAGAGGGGATAAAAACTGATCAGTCCAAAAAAGTACTCCCAAGACCTAGTACGGTCCTCTCTCCCTGCGACCAAATTTCACCCTCTGCGTCCTTCGCGGCATAATGTTTCTTGCCTCAGGGTGTTAGTTGAACCGTTTTTAGCGGTGTTTTTGCTCTTTTTAACTGTCAAGCCACACCTACAAATTCAGCTTTGAACGCAATAATTCATGACATGCAATGGCGGAATGTTTTTTCAAAGGCAAATTCTATGCTGACCGTGTGGGCGGAGCCGGGTCAACCATATTGACTTGTTCAATAGCGCCCCTTTTCCCTCTATTACGAAGTGACGCACTAATGTGAAAAGCCCAAGAAAGCGCTTGCGGGAGCCCTCTCTCTGCTTTGCCCGTATTGCGAGAACGGATTACGCCAAGTCATATACTCGAAATCCCTGAGATCGGGTAGGCGTGGCCGCATGTTTCAACTTAACCTGAAGGTGTCTATGCTTCTGGTGAGATATTTTCATCTTGACACAATTGTTGTCGTGTCTCTGTCCAACACAGAACAAGATGACAGTTGTCCCAGACTGGAATATTCCACGAGTAACCAGTTCCGTGCCATGTTCAAATGCCACGCCTACTCTGGCTCAGGGATAGATAGGGATATGAAGTGTAGGTACAACCGTTCGAGTGAGCGGTCTTGGCTATTCTACAAATGCAGGTGATATTCATAGTGCTGCTGTATTGCCAAGGCGATTTTTATAGATATGTGTCGGTATTTTCTGGCCAGCAATGGGTTGCCTGCGAGGCATTTATGTGCCGGAGGAGACACGTTCAACGACGATCAATCTCTTCAGGGTGCCGCTCAATCTCATTGTGATCTTTATATTATGGCAGGTGAGCAAACAATAATAGACAACGGCTATGGAAATAAATTTCTGACGACACTGCGGAATGATGGGCATTACGAATTCCTTTCACGTATTTGCATTAAATTGTTTGCCGTTAGCGATTGATCATGGGAAGGAATTATTCAACGCGAAGCGGCATGCGGCGAAGGGGGTTTCACACACAGTTATGATCCCTGCAAACGATAGGGTGGGGCGTAGGTCATAGCTCAGCTCGGAGGCCTTTCCCGCTAAAGATGCCACCGTGAGTCCATAACAGTTGGGAGGAAGACTGCCCTTGCTGCGCTTTAATTCACGTCCCTTGACACGCCCTATCATTTGCGGGGATCATGGCTTTAATAACTTAAATATTGAGTTCACAGCGAATTTTTGGAAGAAAATGGCAGTAAAAAGATACGGATTTGTTAGAAGACCTGTTCAGCACAGTTCAAAAAATCTCATCCCTTGTTGTATCTGGTGGGAGAGGTACAGTCGTCATCCGGGCACTTGATTAGGCGGCAAGGGTCGCGACGCGGCTGCGGGCGTCACGACCGTAGCGATGGCCCTCATTGCGATAGCGGTCATTAAGCACGACGGCTTCACCCACCGCTAACTGCGAGTGTGACTCCCTCAACCAAAAATCCGGTCACCTTTTACGCTGCGTTCATAGATAGCGACACGGCGTTCCGAGAGAGTTGGCGCTTTGACTCGGCTTCCAGAGAGGTAGCGTTTGACGAGTCGCCATTTTCGGAAAATTGATCGTTTTCGCGCGACCGGATAAGTATTGAGTATCGTACGTGAGGCTTTGGGGAAATCCGCGTTTTGAACGTTTCAACGTCTTTGACGCTAATCGAAAGCCCTACTACTTTTTTGCTCAGAACGCCGATTCCTTCAAAAAATAACTCAAAGCCACTCTGCCAGTTCAGAACGCAGTCTTACTCCTCTTATATGTAGCGATAGTTCACTCTTCAGTTCGGTCACGTAGTGAATGGGTTGAAGGTGGAGGGGGGGGGGGGGGGGTTGAAGAGAGCGCATGTTCCTATAACTTAATCTGCCTTAATCGCTCCTGTCACTGCTTCCCGCTGTTCATTTACACTTTTCCTCGTGCACAGAAAATAGTCCATTGTGACCCAACGCTCCTCTTCCCCACTTCGTATCTACTGTCACTCTTTGATAAACGTTCATCTTCATACCACTCAACACTCACACTATAAAGTTCAACATTTCAGAACTTCTCAATGACAGCGATCTTCCAGTTCTGTGTACTATTCCTGCTGTTGGCCCTTCGATGCCACGCATGTTCTTAGTGTTGTCGAAGGTAGTCCACTAGGCTAGCACGTGGAATACAGTGCTGATTAGAACAAACACGTTTTAATGCCCTGCGTCCACACTTTCCTATTCCTATTAAGCATCAATGATCATGATTTTCACATTTCAAAGTTATAGGATTTGTTCTGCAAACTGGAAAAATCGCTTCGTAGAGAGCGAAGTACATAGTAATGTTCTCATTATGCACATTTTTGGCCCCATTTTGATCTTCACTGCTTCACTGTCTGAATTGGTATTCTTCACAGTAATTTTAACACTATCAACGAGTAATATACACTTTTTTTGGGAAAACAATATCAGAGCCAGTGCAAGAAGGATCCCACGCTAAACCATCTTATGTTAGACCATCGCATTCCTGTAACCTCATCTCTTGTCGTGGGATTCCTTTGCGCATAGCATTTCATTAGTGTCAGACCCACTCCTGGGGCACAGACATCTGCACCGTTGTTACGTCAAAATATTACCGCTACCTTAATGAGTTTCGAGGATGGACGTTACTATGCGAAATGGTCTTCGCTTTAAGCCTTTGCTGACACAGGGTTTCCCGTGATACACTCCTTTCGCCAGCAGTAACTGACTTTCCTTCCCCTAGTATGCTGTTGCAATTCGATTGTCTAAAGGTATTGTAATTTAAGGTGAGACGGAAAACTGGCAGGAATACAGTATCCGGTCTGCTGCGTTGAATGAAGCGCCTAGGAATCAGATTGCACTCAACTACCTCTCAGTTCTTTTTTAACACTCTGGCTGCCAAGTGCGAGGAGTCGAAATCAGCGCGGTATCAGTTGTCGCCATCCCGCTGCTTCCTTCGATTTGAAGGGTGACTCCAACTGCGAGCATAATGGGGAAACGCTATATAGCGCGCTTCCCTAACTGTTATCACCTTTTGCTCATTGTAATTGACGCAGGCGCTTAGTTGCTGCGCCAGCTGAACGCGATCAATGTACTCAGGATACCAGTTTACCCCCTGGAGGCAAAATCTGGACTGGCTCGGAATCTGACCCGAATTTCGAAAAGTGGAGTAGTACAGAGTAAATAGTGCCGTCATTGTCTGTAGATGTCTTTTGTTCTGGGGCTTTACTCGTGTGATGATGAACTACATTCGTCACTGAATTAACCCAGGGTAAGTGTCGAAGTAACAATTTGTCCGGTGCTTTTGAAATTTTGCACTTGCAAATCAACGTACATTAGACTTAAATATGAGCACCCATGGTAGCGGCGGTGAATTCAGGAGATCTGACAGGGCTATGCTGCCACAAGCCAGCTCCGAATATCTTCCGCTAGCTGGCTTAACATCCCATGCAGAACCATGTTTAAATGAGTCCTTTTTTGCGAATTGTTCGCCATCGAGACAACCATTTCCAAAAGCCTGTTTCGCTAGCTCTATGCCGCGGTAAGAATAATATAACATATCATAAAGCGCGCCCACCATCCATATTGTCGGCTCACGTTGGGGCTCAGTGACGAATGCAGTGTCAACGGTATCTCTCTGCTTTAACTACCACGGTATCTTTTCGCTTTAACTGACGAGATTGTTGTTCATTGCAGCGGGGAGATACGCATACATCAACAGGTGGGGGCTCAGGAGTATCATTAATACAATCGAGCTGCCGACGCCTTCAGTATGACGTTTCCATCACTGATAGCATCATGGCTTGCCTGCTCCATATAATGCCTGCGAAATCAGTCACGCTGCTGATTCGAATACCGTGCACGCGATATCACTTGCGCGCTGTCCTGACTCGGATCTCCTGACCCATATCCTTCTGGGGTCGGTCTGTCTTCGATTATAATCTTTTGTCTAGGGTTCTGCTTGGCTTTACTTGTTTCTGGTCACGTCCTTCATGTCTTATAGTCGTATTTCTCTCTTTTTTTCAAATGGAACAATAAATCTGTTTTTTACAGCCATTGCAAACTCGCCAGTGCCCTCCTCCCTGAGAAGACAGCAATCATGGCAGAACACTGATAAGAGCGCCATATACGATACATTGTAATACTTAAGATTTCACATGAGCCCTTCATATAATCTCGAGAATGATCGCTTTCATGTTGATTATTTAGAAGTATTCTTTATGTCAATTGCTTAGCACACTTCTGTATCAGGCGCAACTCCAGTATAGGTCCGCAGTCCGCTCAGGTGTGGGTAGAAAACGGTAAGTTTTACGACACGTCGCTGACGTGGAGAAAGGGGGGGGGGGAGGGAGAAGGACAAAGGTGACCGTCACACACAGAAAACGAATAAATGAATGACGGGCTTTTTTATCTTCACTGGTTCACCACCGCGGGGTTGCCCCCCTCCCTCCCCCAGGATCCA